GTATTTCTATCCTTTCTATATTAGAGGGGAAAACAAAACAAAGCAAGGCAAAACAAAACATTCCTACAGACACATGAAATGAAAAAGACATGTAAGACTGCTGTACAAGGAGATCTACCATAGTTCCCTGTGTTGTCTCTTGTTATCTTCAATAGTATTAGCTATATCATCAGACATCGTATAATTGAATATATCAGTACATAACAGTATTAATAAAAACACAACTTTGTATATAGTATAACACTTCAAAAGCAGGCAGTTATCAAACCACAATGTATATTGTGGAGTCTTGTCATTTTCAGTGTAGTTGCCTATACTCTCAAGACTTGATACTATCAATCATATCAGTTTTGAATAAAATTGATACCAAACGCTAATCAAACCAGATTTAACTAAGATCAGTCATGATAAAACAGTATAAGTCATACAGGGCTCTAGATTAAGATAATAGGAAATTAAAGATGATTACTGTGCTATATCCTGATGTTTTTGGGATAGCTGTGCCTTTAAATCTAATGCAATTAGACAACTGGGACAGAATAAAATCTATCTAAACAGGGTGGTGCAAGTAATGTGGGTTTTAAATCCTGGTACACTATTAACAATATCTTCTGCCATCTTTTTTTAAGACCCTCCCCTTTTACTTCCCCATGGTACACTGCATTTTTGGGTCTGACCCAACCCTTGGTTTTAAATTGGGGGGGGGGGGCAACCTGCTATTTACCTAAGTGGTTCTGAACCTTCTCTCTCCTGGACTTGATCTCTAATTGTATTCCTTTACCTATTAAAGTCTGTCTTTCCAACCTATCCAAAAATACTGGTCTAGTTGCCCCTTATCACTCTCTGGTTCTCTGTCACATAGAGCAGTTTTCTCATATTTGATTTTCAGTCCATGTACTCTTTTTTTCATGTTAATTGTATTTCCTATAAACAGCATCTCAGTGGACCCTGCCTCCTGATCTACTCTACATGTTCTACATGTTTTATTTTTAGTGTATCAAGGCCATCTATATTAGATATTAAAAGGAACCTTCTCTGCCTCATTTCCATTATGCTCTTTTTTTTTTTTTTTTGCCATGAGTTGTCTGCTTATCTTCATCATTCTGTTTTCTGCTCCATTTATTGAGGCTTCTCTTCCACTATTCCTGGAATCCTAGTACTTTTCTCCCTCTCTCTCTCGAATACCCTGCAGTATTCTCTATAGAGTTGGATGGGTGGTTGCGAATTTTCCAAATTGCTCTTTGTCTTAGAAGCATCTTGTTTCTCCATTAATTTCTAGAGGCAGATTAGCAGAATATATCAATCTGTGTTGGAGGTTATTTTCTTTCAAGGTTTGGAATATTTCATTCCAGGCTTGTCTTGACTTGATGGTTTGTGTTGAGAAGTCTGCCATTATTCTGATGGGCCTTCCTTTGTAGGTGATCTGATTCTTGTCTCTAACAGCTTTTAATATTGTGTTCTTATTGAATTTCTGGGATCTTGATTATTATATGCCTGGGTGTAGCTCTGTTTTGGTTGTAGGTGGCTGGAGTTCTATAAGCCTCATATATCAGAATATCATTTCCTTTTCCTATGTTTGGGAAGCTTTCCTTGGTTATTTCTGTGAATAGCCTTTATAGTTCCTTTGTTTGTACCCCTGCTTCTTCATTCACATTCTTTATTCTCAAGTTGTAGATCCTCTTGTCATCTTCTAGCCTTTGTATTGTTACTGCTTGTTTCCTTGTTATTTTAAAAAAGTTTTTCCTTTCATAGTCCCACGTTGCAAAACTGTCCTCCAGTTTGGATAATCTATCCTTAGTTTCTTTCAAGCAGTTTTGCCATCTTTCCATAGAGTTTTTAATTTCCTGGAAATCTCTTTGAATCTGCTTCATGTGCTTTATATTTTCTTTATATTCTTCCTCAAATGGTTCTATCCTTTGTTTGAGTTCCTCCCTTCTTCTGTCTGTGTCTTCTTGAGGGGTGCTTAGCATCTCTTTTATTAATCTTGTATCTTGCTTTACTTGGCTATATACTTCCCTTTTGAACTCATCTCTGAGGTCCTGAAGATATTTATGTCCTCTGGTGCTGTGTCTGATACTGCATGTTTGCTGTTCTCATTCTCCTTTGTACTTACCTGTCCTGGGTCAGTGTTCTCAGGTTTGGGACCTGGGGACTTTTTGTTGTTGCTTCCTCTTCCCATCTTTTTTGTTTCTTCCAGGAGGCCCCAGTTTCTTTCTTTGTTAGTTACAATTCTTCTGAAGTATGCTGGCTAAGTGACCCTTCCCACTGCAATGTGCTAGTGAGTTGCAGACAGGGGCAGTGTATGCTGGCCCCTCCCCTTTGGATCAGTCAAGCTGCTGAGGCCTGCACTGTGTTAGCATACACTACTTCCCCTCAAGATCAGTCAAACTTCTGAGGCTTCACTTGCATTAGTCTCTGCTGCCCCTTGTACTTGCCAGTACTGTTTGGTCCCAGAATGTCATCCACCCGAGCCCCCCTTTCTGTGGAATGGCTCCACTCCTGTCACTCACCACAAGTGGATGAAGGCTCCCCACCAGCTCATGTCTGTTCGACTGGCAGACCCTGACCTCAGTGTGACTGCACCTCCAGTGAGTCAAAGTGGTAGGACCTTGGATGGCTCAGCAATTTGCCCACTGCAGCAGAAGCACTGAACCATTAGCTGTTCCAATAATAGCACTGGGACTGTATGTTTGATTGGTTCTTCTCACCTTAGTTTCTTCTTGGGATTAGAGAATTCATCTCCCTGTTTGGGGCTTCCCACGCTGTACTATGTTGAATTCTAAGTTGACTATCTCAAGGAGCCTCTGTAGCCAGCTGTTATCTATCCGCTATCTTTGCTCCAACCCCTTTGATATATTTGATTTTTTTTTTTTTTGTCTTTTCATCGGTACAAGGGATCGAACTCATGACTGCCTGCTTGCAAGGCAGGCACTTATGCCACTGAGCTAAATCCCCAGCCCCAATATATTCAATTCTTAGAGAATAAAATGTACAGCAAGATTTCATGATTGCAAACAAAACAAACATGCAGAAAAAAAGGAGTGCATTAGAAGAATACATAGTACACAGAACTGCTGGAAGGACTTGAGAGCCAAGTTTGGAAATCAAAAAAAGTTAGAACAAAATCATAGCAATACTCTGGCCATAAAGTAAAAGATTTTGTGTGTGTTTGCTGGCAGTAATGCTCCTGAAAACTAGATTTCAAATACTTATTTGCATCACTTTTCTAGATTCAAAGTCTAGCAGGAATACCCACCTCACCAAGTTTTATGCCGTTGATCACACTGTCCAGCATCAAACACAGCAATCTTCCAAAGTCAAAACTGGGATCACTATTCCAAGAGTCAATAAAGTAACAAACTGATATGGTAGTAGCACCAAATACAAAAATATTGGAGATCTACCATCCATCTGTTTGTCTTGATATTTTTGTACATTGTTCTACCCACATTCATCTAGTTTAAATGCTTCTTCCTGGTAATACCATAACCCTCAAGTCCAGGATCTCAGCATTGTCTTCTCTGACTCTGTAATAATCTTGTCTCAGTAGTTTACAACTCAGGCAAAAGTATTATTTAACAGTCACCTTCATACAAAATAATAATATACGAGTGAGAAAATAAGGAAATTAATTACATAAGCTTGCAGGCCTCAATGAGAAAGGAAACAGGACAATATTTTGCATGCTTTGTTGATGAAAATCACCTGAATTCCTTGTTAAAGTCTGAAGCCCTGTTATAGACCAATAGAGTCAGAATTTCTAGGATAGCATATGACTAGCAGCACTTTTTGTGTCCCAAACTTCTCTGATGAAAAATACTGTATTAGTTATACACAGTTCTTAGTTCACTACACGTCATTCCCTTTCCCTTGTGTTCAAGCAGCACCTCAACTGATCAACTTTCTTTATATGCTGGGTGCCCAAGGATCTAAACAGTGGCTAATCTCACCTACATGTGAGTAAAATAGTCCTTAATCCTTATAGTCCAACATGATGTTGAAGAACAGGGTATGATTAAAAGGTGGTCTCACAGATCCCCTGAGTTTTAGTACTCATTTTCCTGGTCCTCAGTGTCAATCACTCCAGCTAATACATGACCACTTTTTCAAATCTTCTTTCATAGCAAAATAAGCTAAAAATGGTGGGGTGGTAATCCCAGTGTCCAATTTAGAGAAAAATGATACTGTCTCTGCTTGTGGAAGGAGTGTTCTAGATACAAAAATTGCTACACTAATAGAACCTGGAATCCTGGAGGTAGATGGCAAAAGCAGTAAAAATTGGAAGACTTTATCACACTTGCAAGCTATTGGACTAGCTATAGTGTCTTGGATGTGGAAAGGAGTACTAGATTTAAAAATATATATAGTACAACAAGATCCATAAAACAATCTCAAATAGAAGTCTTGGCCATTAAAAAACTATTGGAAATATACACAGCAGAATCAACCAATGTGAGGACAGTATCAGATGCAGAAAATAGGAATGTGTTTGGTGATTCACTAGTGCTCAACTAAAATAGCAGGGGACCATGAAAAATCATTCTAGCAGCTGCTAGGTGATACAAAAAAGACTTAGGATTTTTGAACTCGATGACAAATGAGAAGATAGTACAAAGGACATAAAAACCTGTCAATAGTGTCAATAATAGCAGAAAACTTGGCACGCATGAAAAAAGAATTTGATATATACAGCAAGGTACCCAAATATCGGTATATGAGCATCAGTTCCTAGAGCCCCAGTTCCCATACTTTGATACAGAGAGCCCAGTGATTCCCACACATAGTGAGCTACATTAATGAGAAGTCAGGGCTGAAGCCCAAGCAGTTTCTAGCTAACTTCAAACAAGCCAGGAACTGTAGATGGAGGGGAGCCCATGCAGGAAAGGAAAATATACAGGCAGCATGTCAGATTTAACAGTGAGATGTCAATCCCTTTTCTACTCTCTACATTCTCCTGTCAGTAGAAGGGTACCATCAAGAACTCTTAACTTACTTGGAACATGAGGACTACGTCAGTGTATTTTCTCATCTCCTTCCAAACTAACCTTTCAGTAGGGTTGTCCATCATCCCACAAGACCACCTCCTGGTATTAAAAGACTTGATAAGGCTGGTGAGTCCAGCAGTTGGCACTTCCCTGCTATATACATGTTCCAAAGGAAAAAAAGTGAAATTTTTGGTAAGTAGTAATGTCATAAGGGATGTTGTACTGAGTATAAGGGATTCAGTAAGTCCATAGATGGAGGGCAGCAGGTAAAAGGACAAAATAGGAGAAGCAATCCAAACCCCAAATAATTGTCTCTTCCTCTTAAGAACAATTTGCAACCTTCTGCATGACCGTAGAAGCATTGTAATCACATGATCACTGCAGTTGATAAGCAATGCTAGCTAATCAGTCCTAAATACTTTTAAAATACACATATAGGTCCTTGCCTCCATAGCTGTATTATTAGTTGGCTTACTGAGCAAACGGCTGTGGTGCAGGAGGTAGGCTGACAGATGGGTAGAGTCACCATGATAGGCAGCCCCTCGAGAATGACTTGTGTCTAGAGAGAGAACACAGCAGAGGTAGTGGGATATCTCTGCTGAGATCAGATCACAAAGACTGATGGCCTTTAAATGAGTTTTATTGCTCTTTGGTTCACTCATACCAATTGCCATGTTGTGAAATGACCTTTGGAGAAGCCCACCTAGCAAGGAACAGAGGGAAGTCTCCAGTTTCAAAGCCTACAGAGAATTTACTCCTGCAATAATTATGTGAATTCCCTGGAAATCAATCCTACCCCTAGTTGTGCCTTCAGATAAAATTGGACCCTTCAGCCAACAACTTAATAGCAGCCTCATTTAAACAGAGTCTCTAAATATGGGTATAGCTAACCACCAACAATTAATATAGAGATCTTGTTTTGACTACGAGTCCTTCCTCCTCCTGTGATGGGAACGTTTTTTAGGGACCTCAAGGGGACCTAAGTGTTCTCTTGATTCAGAACCACTTTCAGAAGTCTTGTTCCAAAGAACTACCCCAAAATATTTATGTTCCCAGTTCCTGACCATCTGCCTAATCTAGTCATGCTTACAAAAGGGAATCGATCTTTATCCTAAGCCTCATTTCCTTCCAGACAAAGTGTGCAGAACAAATTCAGTTCTCTTCTCTCCTCTCTTACCATCCCCTAAACCCGTTTTACTCTTCTTTGAGGACAGCTCTTATAGGAGGGCTTTGAATGCTAAAAGCAGCCCATTCCAAGTAGGTCAATTTATTGACAAAGCTGTTCCCAATCTAGCTTTTTCCTCCTCACCCGCTGCTGGACCTCATCATAAGTACTACATTCAAACCGAAGTTCAAAAGTATGCCTTTATTTGTTTGGAGACAGAATCTCACTATGTAGTTCAGGCTGGTCTTGAACTCACTATGTAGCCCCATCTGGCCTTAAATTCATGGTGTTCCTCCTGCTTCAGCCTCTAGCGCTGGGATAACAGGCAGTTCAAACATGTGAGCTACCTGCTAAGGAAAACTGCTTGTGTTGGGGTTTTGGCTCTATTCTGTATATACCACTTCCTTAGTGGAAAGGCTCATTATCTAGGAGAACCAGGTAATTCTCCATAAGAAACTCAGACTTCCTAGCTGCCAGATACAACATGGACAGACACTACAAAGATTCAACAATTCCCAGGAATACATATATAAAATTCCAAAACTCTAGAGGCTCCTCTGATGTTGTGAAGACCTCCCCCAAGTTGCATAAAACAGCTTAATCTACCATATAATCCAACCGAATATGTTGGGATTCAAGGGTCAGCTGGCAGAGCTCCTTGTACTGCATGCTAGAGCAGTACCTCACTCACAAATACCACCTATCAGGTTATCAGATATGCAGATGAGGGGCTCACTGAAAAGGAGAAATTTAAAAGGGAAGGACAGCGAGGTAAATGCAGCCTATTACCAAATCAAAAGAATACTATAAAACACTTTGCATCCTCTAAAAGGGATCTTCTAGCCAGGTGTGATGACACACAACTGTGATCCATACACTGGGGAGGCAGGAACTCACTGTGAGTTTGAGGCCAGCCTGGGCTACACAGTGAGTTTAAGGCCAGGCTGAATTACAAAGAGAGAGTTCCTGTCTCAAAGAGAAACACACACACACACACACACACACACACACACAAACACACACACACACACACACACAAACCCAAAAACCGAAAAACAAATAAGGGATCTTCTAAGAGACTTATAGCCTCAGACTGTATTTCTTTGCCTAACTTCAATTATGACTTTTTTTTAACAAAAAATCTGGAATTCCAGTCATGGAACAACAATTTAAATAATAAAGTCCTAAGATAGAATCTTTTTTAACTCATTAAAATTTTTTTCAAAACCATTTAATATAGTGTGCGAAAAATCAACATGATTTAACGTTTTTGTTTGGTCGGCTTTTTGAGGCAGAGTCTCACTATGTAGTTTAGGCTAGCCTTGAACTCATTATATAGCCCAGGCTAGCCTCAAACTCAGTGATCCAGATTGCTAGGATGATAGGGGTGTGCCACTACACCCAGCTCTAATTTTATTTGTTTTGTTTTTTGAGACAAGCCCTCGCTGTGCAACCCAGGATGGCCTGGAATCTAGAGCAATCACCTTCTCTTGGCCCCACTGTTAGAATTATAGGAGCCCAGCACCACATACCACCTTAGTTTTGTGGTACTCAGGATTGAATCTTGGGCCTTCCTCCTAAGCTTCATCCTTTCTTTTTTCGAGACAAGGTCTTGCTAAACTGCTCAAGTTGGGCTAAAATTTGCAATCCTCCTGCCTTTGGCTCCCCAAGTGCTAGAGATTGCAGGGCTATAACACGAAGCCTGGCATATTTATCTTAACTGTATAAATTTATGGGGTGTAGTGTAATAATCTGATACGGTGAATGTATACAGCACGTAATGTTCAACTAAGGGTAGTTAACATCTCTATCATAAGTTTTTAAACTTTATTCACATATAATCATTGTATTTTTAGGGCACAGTGTACTATTTCATTACATATGCATACATATAATCAAATAGCAGTTAACATTTCCATCTCTGTGTTCACAACCTTTAAATGTCTTTCAGTTATTCATAAAATATACAATAGGAGAATGATACAGAACACCAGAATTGGTTATTTCTATTTGTGGGTTTTTTAAGCCAACATTATTAAACCGCACGTGCTGGTCCACACTTGTAATCCCAGCGCTGGGCTGGCGGAGGCCAGAAGATATAAGCAGGACAAACTGGCTACAAGAAAAAGCCTGTCTCAGAAACCAAATGGCACGCTTATAATCCCAGCACTCAGGAAGATTTCGAATATGCTAAACATAGGCTAAACAATAGGCTAAAACAATAGATTTCGAATTCGAATCTCTCCCGAGCCACTTGAGAGAGATTTGTGCAAAAGAATAAAAAGCACTGGGGAATAGTAGAGCGCTTTTAAGTTTCACCCAACAAAAGCAGAAAATTTTAAATAAAAAAGTGATTACTAGAGACTGAAAGCGCAAGAGAAGAGAGGCATAGAAGCGTAAAAGCCATTCCAAAATAGTTAGGGTGTTTAACCAACGGCTAGCTTAGAGTGGTTCTGGAACACAACTGAACCACTCCTGGCCCCTTCTCTAGTTGGAGGCTGCGCAGGCGCAGATCACACGCGCGGACTACACGAGCCCGCCCCCTCGCCGGAACTACCTCTCACCCAGCTGCGCGTGCGCAGGCGCCACCGGCTCGGCATCATGACCGTATTCAGTCTCTCGGGTTTATTGGGCCGAGTCCATGCGACCGCCTGGGGAGCGGCAAGTAAGGCGCCCGGTCGGGTCGGGGTCGCAAAGGTTCAAGCGCTCCCGCGGAGTAAGCTCTGTGTGTGCCGACGCGCGGCGGGGCCTGTAGAGCTTTGCTTTTTTGGCTGGACCAGTCGCACTGCCTGCTTCTTGAGGTCGCGCCTGTAGCTTGAGGTGGGCCGGCACTTCCGGGCCTCTGACCTTTTCCTTCCGTTCTGGGCCCTCGGCCGGAAGTGCCGCGCCGGCCTGTGATTTTCGTAGGGACTCGCGGCGCGCAGGCTTTGTGGTGTCCTTCGGCAAGTGGTTTAGATGGGGCGTTGAGAATCAGTCACGCACTTGTTTATATCTAAAAGGGATTGTGACCGTTTACTGTATGAAAGAAGAGAAATTCAGAAATGGGCCAAAGGCAAATTAGTATACATAATAAAAATTAGGTGAAGCCAGGAATTAGTAGTGCAAAAAAGCATACTTGCTTTCAGAGGATGGTGAGCTTGCTTTAAATTACAACATTCCTGAAAAGTTAGGTACTCATATGTATGTAACTCAAAAACTCGATTATTGGCTTCATAGTCAGTTGCCTGACTTATGTGCAATTTGTTTTACTTTCTGTGGCATTTTCCTCAAACGTGTTTTACTGTGTTGTAAAAATCTTAAATGATCCAGAAATGAACATTATAGAAAGTGAACATCTCACATTATCCAGACTTATAGTTGCTATATTCATTCAGCCTCCTTTGTTCACCAACTTGAACACTTATGAAACAGTTCATACTGAAAATTTGCAAAGTGCTTGTATAAGTTATGAAGCAAAAGCAACATTGTGAACCCATTCTCCAGCTTAAGATAATAGACTTATTTCCTTACCAACAAGCTGCTTTTGATACAATTGTGGAAATTTGTGCTTTTTTATCTTTACAGAAACGGTTTCATATCGTTTGTATTTATTTGCTTTTCTTAGCTAATACTATATTTTGAGATTGAACTGTATCCGTGTATCAGGTTGTAATTACTCAGCTGAGGGTATATGGTGCATTTTCCATTTTCCTTCTCAGTGGACCTTAGAGTAATTCTGGAATCACCAGGATTGGCTACTATACACTTTGTGTGTGTTACCCATGCTCAGTGTAAGAATTGGAATTCCTGCAGGATGGTAGGAGCCTGTTCATTCTCACAACACTATACCAAGTTATTAAGGCATTTTTTGGTCCCACTACCAGTTTACACTGACTTTTATGTGCAGTGCATTAGAGTGCTTCTTGTTCCACACACTTGACAACACTTGATTTTGTTTCAAAGTTTAATTTTTGGCTTCCAAGAGAGTGTTAAAATGATATCTCATTTTACTTTTTTCTTTTTTAAGACAGAGACTCACTATGTAGTTCAGGTTGGTCTTGAACCTGGGCTGACCTCAAATTCAAGGCAGTCTTTCTGCCTCGGCCTCCAGGTGGGCACCACCACGCCCAGCTTACTTTTTTAATTAAACATTTTTCACATTTCTCATTTCTTAATGGATTTTCTCATTTTCTTAATGGATTTTTTTTTTACCTTATTTATGTTCTTTATATATGTTTGTTAACTTTTTTTTTTCCCCTGAGCTTTGGGAATGAATCCACGGCCTTGTGTATGTACAAGCTAGGTAGGCACGCTATCACTGAGCTGTATCTCCAGCCTCCACAAACTTCCTTAATTATGTTGCCCAAGCTGGTCTTCAGCTTTTGGACTCAAGTCATCCTCTTGCTTCTGTTTCCAAGTATGGTAGTTGGGACTACAAGTGCAAGCTGCCAAGACTGGCTACAGTGTGTCTTCTTATGAAATTCATATAAACACAAGACAAAATAGAACAATGGGCCTGCATTTACAGCCATGTAGATTCAATTTTAAAAGTATCTTTTAATGAACGGATATTTATAATTTTATTATAATCTTTTCTTGATCTTCTTTTGCTAGTACCTTTTGATCTTGCCTCAGAAAGCTTACCCTAAACTGATGGAGATATTCTATACTGTACTTTCCTTTAAAAGGTCTCTAGTTTTTGCATTTCAGGGTTTTTTTTCCGTACTAAAAGCTGATTTTTGTATATATGTGACATGAGAAACCAATTTATTTTCTATATCAATAACTGTTCTTCCCACTTCCATGTACAGTTTTTATAAGACCTTTCCCACACTGATATAGTACCAGCTGTCATAAATCAAGTTTATATATATGCAGATTCATGGGTCCAAAAAATCTCGTGTATGGCATGGTGACTGTAGTTAATAATAGTGTGTTGCATGTTTGGAAGTTGGTGAGTGTAGCATTTAAGTGTCATAAACACAAATACTTTGTGAGGAAAAAAATGCATATTATTAGCTTGATTCAGCTATCTATAGTGGATGATGTGTCAAAACATCATATTGGGGGCTGGGGATTTAGCTCAGTGGCATAAGCGCCTGCCTTGTAAGCAGGCACTCGTGAGTTCGATCCCTGGTACCGATGAAAAGGAAAAAGACAAAAAAAACCCCATCATATTGGGACTGGGAATGTAGCTCAGTGGAGTAGACACAAAGTCCTGGGCTTTAACACTAGAACCAAAAATAAAAAATCATATTTTAAACTCACAAATAAATATGGTATATATTTAGTAATTTATATAGTATATGTTAATTTGTGAATTTTTAAAAATTATAGGAATATATTGAGAATTTTAAATTGTAAATGTTATATATTTTAATCATGTCATTGTCTTTTCATCCCAATTTTGTGTGTCCTTTTTTTGAAATGAGAAAGTCATGTATCCCACAAAAACAGCATATGGCTAGACTTAAATTTTTGCAGCCTATCTTTTTTAACCAGCTAAAGACATCTTACTTTTTGCACCTTTGATCTGTCACACTATAAACTAAATATTGGGATGGATTTCTGGGATTTGTTGTTTTTGAGACAGGCAATCTACCTCAGACTGGTCTGGACCTTGCAGTGATCCTCCTGTTTCAGCCTATGGACTAGCTGGGATTACAGGCTTATGCCACCAAGCCCATCTATAAATAAGCTTTTATTTGGCTCCTTTTAAGATCTTCCCTCATGTTAGACTTCTTTTTTCCCTGTGTCCAAGTATGACTTTTTTGTTTCCTATATTTTATTTCTGCCACCTGTGTGCTATCTCCCTAGTCTTCCCATTTTTCTGGAAATTTGAGTAAATATCTGTTAGATCTTATTTTATCCTATATGTTTAACTTACTTTAGTTTTATTTCCTTATTTCTATTTGTTCTTGGTATAATTCCTGCGAAACTTTCCTTTTTTTTTTTTTTAGCAAGTATCACGGGCTGGCTTTGAAATCCCTGCTGTCAGGCTCCCAAGTGCTGCAATTGTAGGCATGAGCCACCATGCTAGGCCCAATTTCTTTTCGGGTGTACTTATTTTGCCATTTAACTCCCTACCCCATCCAGTAGAGGATATTGAAACCATACCCACCTTGTCGCAGTGACTGAGCTGAATCCATAGCTTTTCCTATGTTTTATTTTTTTCAAGCAGATTTTATTGGAACTTTTTTGTAGGGGATTGATTTCAGGACCTCAGCAGCCAGGCATATTGGTACATTTTAGATGTACATAATGATCACATGTATGATACAGAATTGGTACCTGTATGTGATACAACTTTCTCCCCTTTCCCCTACCCTCCCTTCAGTCCCTCCTCTCCTCCCTGTTTACCAAAGGTTTGTTTCTATGTTTTCCTTTGTTTCTCTTCTTTTTTACTTTTCCTTTCTCCCTTCTTCTTTGTTCCCCTCTCCATTTGAACATTTTCTTCCTGTTTCACAATACCTCTTATAGATTTTGGTCCTTATTTACACTCTCACTTTCTCACACCAGAGAAACAATGCAGTATTTACACATGTGTCCAATTTATTTTGCTTAAGAGTATGAACTCAGGATGCATCCATTTTCCTAGAAATGTCTCAAGGTTGTCCCTCTTTGTGGCAAAGCAGTACTCTGTTGTATAAAAAAAAAACACAAACCTCTGTATCCATTCATCGTTTGGTGATCACTGGGGCAGGGTATGGTGTAGTCATTCCACTTTTATCTTGAGGACTTCAGTGAATGCACCTGTGGTTGCATTGTTAAACTGTCTTCATTTTCTGTTTTTTCTTTTCTTTTTCAGTTTAATTTCTGGGTTGATGCTTGTAAATTCCCTGTGGTGAGTTGCTTTATTGTTAGTATTTAAAACCCTTAGGAAATGACTCCTTCTCAGAGATGTCTACCAGGTATAGCTGGATTTTGAGTTTTGAGTATTTTGCAACATCTTACCTTTTCGGAGGATAAGAAGTTCCTGTCTCATTGGCCTAGGGCCTCATTCTTTGGCCCTGGTCCACAGTGTTTTCTATTACACTTAAGCAATCTTAGTCTTGGAATACCAGGAAGAACAGGTGCTTAGAACAATTGTGTCATTTTGGCTAAAGTGTCACAATCAGCATTAGCAACAGCATCAAATACAGCCTAGAAAATGAGAAACCAAGGTTACCATTAATTTGCTACCTTTAGCTGTATGAAGTAGATTTGTGTTTATATAAAATCTAAAACCAGAAAATTAGATGCAATAAATAAGTCCTTATATGTCAGTTTTACCCTTAGAGGAGAAAATTTTAAAGGGGTTAGGGAAACAATAGAGAAGTAGAAGAGGAAGAGATTAGAAGCAAGGCTAACAACAAAGAAGCTAGAAACCACATTCACAGTATAAAAACAAAATCAAACAGTGAAAGAGAAAACAACAACAAAAACAAGAAAAGACAAAAATCCAGTCCACTTTTAAGTTTGTCTCTGCTATTACTGGTGGACAGCATGTGGAGACAAGAGTCCAGATTTGTGTTGATTTATCCCATCAGGTTTATGGCAAGGTAATGGATAGTCTCAGTGAGCCTGTACCTTTATTTCCTCTGAAGTCAAGGCTGGATTCTGGCCATGAGGCTGAGACCAGACCCATTCATCCTGCAGACATCAGCATACCTTCTGCAAGTATGAACTCGGCTGAGAGCCACTAGATGGACTCAGCGGCTGTTCTAAGTTCTGAGCTCAGTTGGCTGCTAAGATGACTCCCAGCTAATTGCTTTCTCCCATGAGACAACTGAGCCCTCAGTACTCACCTCCAGCCAGTACATTCCTTCACATCCACTGTTCACATCCACAGCTGCATTTCTCTGTGCAAGCCTCTGGTTTTGCCAGCAGTCACCCTGTGTCTGCAGGTTTGAACTGCTCCTCCCACAGAGTCCCAACCCAGGCAGAAGGCACTACCAGCTATCTCCTCCTTCTGCCTTGAAGTTTCTGTTTTTGCTCTCCCTGTGAGCTTCAATTCTCACTTCAGATTCAAGGCATCCTTGCCTTCCTCACACGTTGGGAGCTGCTGAGCTAGTGATCATTTACACACGTGGAGCTGAAAGCACAAGTCCCTTAACCGGAGTGCCCTAAGTACCCAGAGCACCTGAGGAATGCCCCAAGGGCATGGAGGGCTGGAGGTGGGCAGGGGTTCCGGCCAGAACATGGGATCTAACAAGTGAGCTAGTTAAGAAAAGGGCATCATAAATAAACGCATTGCAGTAGTCAAGCAGTCTCTTCCTCTCATCTGTAGGAAGGGCCTCATCTGACCCCAGCTTTTTGTTTGTTTGTTTGTTTTTTATCCTCTTGTCATTCTTCTCCTTGGGAACTTAGAGAGCTCTTGCAGACACTGACACTTGTTGCTATATTCCAGAGTCTGGGCGGTAACTCTCAGAGAACTGTTTTTTGCTTACCACTGTGCTATCTTCCCGGAAGTTTTTCTATTTTGTATTTTGAGACAAGGTGTTAGGTCTCAGAATGGTCTCTAACTTTTAATCCTTCTGCCTCAGCCCCTTGAGTCGATAGGACTACAGGTATGTGACCACTGTGCCTGTCCTATTTAGCTTTTCCTTGAGCTTGAAATTTTATTATATTTCTAAATGTTTGTGTCCATCTTGTTTTCTTCCTTTCGTCCTGGCCTACCCACTTTTCACTCTCTTATTACTCATTTTTTGCTGCCTTTTCACTTAACTATGTCAATTAGATATTTTATATTCTGGATTCAGTATATGGAATCTTTAGTCGGTTCTATTGTTTGTTGATTCTTTTGGCTCTTGTCTGTGAGACTTGTGTTCTTTACTGGGATTCCAAATGTGGGGCATCCGTGAGTTGAGAAAATGTCTCTTCAAGGATTTGCGTAGAAGCACTGAGTTTTGGCCTTGGATCCTCTTTATAGTAAGGTGCTTCCTGGAGTTTGGGTTACACAGACAGTGTGCACTGAGGTCTGAGCAGAACCGTGGTTAGCTGTGGCCTGAGAGTCTCAAAGGGATGGCTTTTTTCACATCTCCACTCAGAACCAAGGTTTCCTTCTTCACCTTAACTAGGGGTTCTCCTCTTTTCTCAGTTCTGGGGCGTGTAGCAGAGATCACCTGGGAGCATATTTAAATTGTAGCCTCTGGGGGGAGGTGTGCCTCAGCACAATTCAGAATGGCATTTTAACAAGAGCCCTAGTGGTTCTGAAAGCTTATTTTATATCCTCGGTTCGGGTATGGGAGCCCTTGACTCCTGGCCTTCCCACGGCCTTTCTGCTTTTCTCAGTTTAAGAAACTATTACCCCCAGCGGCCTAAAGCTATGCCCTCCATGGGCAGAAAGACAAATTGTAGCAGTTTCAATTAAGTGGGTGTTTTTTTGTTTTTGTTTACCCAAATGGGGGACATTTTAAGTTTATCATTATTTACAGTTTCTATGTGACTTAGAAGCATTCTGTATATTGAATTAGTTAGCTTTCTGACATTGTATCAAACTCCCTGAGAGAAATCAACCTAAAGGAGAGAAGATCTGTTTGGCTCTCCACCCTTTCAGAGGGGTGGCCAGCTCCCAGGTAGAAGAAAGTTGCTCGCTTTCTGGCAGTCGTGGAACAGGGAAGTGGGTAGGGAAGAAGGGGTGGAGACCAGACAGTCCCAATCCCGTGATCCAGGCTGCTCCTGTCAACCAGGCCTCACATCCAGTTTCCAGCCCCTCCAGGGTCATCATCCTGCCGTGACCTCACCAGACTCCTCCAGGTGCTGTTAGAGCCCTTGTGACCCAGCATGTCCTTCCTTTCAGCCCGTCTGCGGCCAAGCCTTCAAGGCCATGGACCTTTTGGGGGATAGTTTGGATCCCAAAATAACACACACTTCTCAACCTTTAGATACTGTGTAGTTGTAGGGTTTTAACGTCAAATTTATGAAACTGCCAAAACCAGAAATTCTCTATTGTTATAATTTGTGTGTAAGGATATGAGTGTCCTTTAGTGATGCTTCACTCTTAGCTTTTATTATTCCTTATTTTATTTTATTTAGTACAGGGGATCAAACTCAAGACCTTGTACTTGCCCTATTTCTTCTTTTAAAAAACATCTGTTTTTCAGGGGAAACTAAAGTGGCCTCAGGTCTGCCCAGGAGAAATGGAGCATGCATGGTAATAAAGTCCCTGCTGCTGAGCACCTGCTATTCCTAGGCAGAGCTGGACTAAGGCTCCTAGGCTCACCTTTGGCTGTATGCTGATCCTTCTCATCTGACAGGCCTTTTTTTAAATAACAGTCCACTCTTAAAACTAAGTTGATAAATATGCACTAAATATTATCACTGAGAAACACATGTACTCAGTTCTTTGGTTTGATTGTGTTTTGGTACCAGGGATCAAACTCATGACCTTGCTTGCCAGTCTGGTGTTTAAGCCCTGAGCCAAATCCCCGCCCCTCCTTTTTTTTTTTTTTTTTTTTTTTTTTTTTTTTTTGAGACAGGTTCTTGCTGTGTAGTCCAGGTTGTCTTGAACATAGGATCCTTCTGCCTCAGCCTCTAAGTGTAGGGAATCACAAGGGTACACTGCCATCTCAGCTTCTTGGATACTGATAGTGGTCTGTGTCCTGGTGTGTTAGCATTGCTTGGGACAGAAAGCAGTGTTTTATATATTTCACTTCCCTTTGGTATCTTCTGAAGCTCGATAAATATGAATGTATAAACTAAAGACCAGAAAGTAAAATGACTCAACTTTTAAGCCTAGTAAATGAACAGCTTAGTCTTTGCTCTGTCCACTCTGCCAGAGTCACCTCTCCTCTGTGATGCTTTGAGGAGAATTGGTTCTTCGCCAGGAGGGAAGTCTGAGCCCACCAAACCACCCATCAAGAAGCCCACACTGCCGCTAGGTCGTTTTGATGCGCCCGAGGATTCTCATGTGGAACAGGAGCCTCTGACAAGTGAGTGCGGTAACACTTCATTTTGGATGTGTCAAGGAAGGTGTTTTAGTCATTGAGAAAACAAAAAAAGTTTGAAGAACATTCCCCTAAGCATTTACTTTGAGTCCTCAGCAAGGCTGTCCCTTTTACAGCAAAATTAGAATTAACCCCTCTGTGTTGTGAAGTGCCTTAGGCAAGAAATATCAGCAGAGGACACCAGCCCCTGTGTCTGGATCTTTTTCTACCATAGGGAAATTTATTATTTGGTAATTCAGTAAAATATTTAAATTTATAGTACTTTACTGAGCCCAATAATGACGAGGCCAGTCAGCCAAGAAGATGGGGAATTTTTAATAGTTGTCATAGAAGTTTTTCAGTAATTTTAATATCCATAAAGGACCTGGATTCAAGCCCACAAAAAAGAAAAAAGGAAAAGATAGAAGGAGGAACCAAAAGCCAGTGGCTACAGTATGCAGCTCACAGCTGAAAAGGGCCGGGAATAAGCTTCCTCCACAGCCCTCAGATACAGCACAGCCCTGCTGGTGTCTGATTGCAGCCGCTGAACCTGTGTCAGCCTTCTGCTTGCTGGAAGTGTATGATAGTACATTTGTAGCATTTTAACCAAAGTAGGGGGAGTGATCACACAAGAAAGCAGCAACCCTTGGGCCAGGGGTTTACCTCAGCGGGCGTGGGCGTAGGTGCCTGCGTGGCAAACGTGAGGTCATGAGTTTGATCTCTGGTACCAAAAAAAAAAAAAAAAAAAAAACAGCAACCCAAAAATAAAGCCTCACTTATATGTCCAATTGATTTTTTAATGAAGGTACCAAAGTCATTCAGTGGGGGAAAAGCCAGTCAGCCTTTTCAGTAAATGATGCTAACAAAACTGGATATCCACATGCAAATGAATGAAGTTGGACCTCATCATATATAAAAATTAACATTAAATCCATTTAAAAATCCAATTAAAATAAAAATTTAAAAATTAAGAATTAAAATGACTGGGAATTTAGCTCAGCAGCATACCTGCCTGCCTGGCACACGTGAGTTCATGAGTTTGATCCCCAGTACCAAAAAAAAAAAAAAAAAAAAAAAGGAAAAGAGCTAAAATGATAAAAATATTGAGAGAAATTTTCATATTGCAGTTGGCATTGATTTCATGGCTATGACACTAAAAGCAAGCAAATAGGACTTCAAAATTAAAAGCTTTTTTTACATCAAAAATCATCAAAAAAGCCAAAGATGGCCTACAGAAAGAGTAAAATATGTACAAATTAGCAGTAACTAAAAAAAATCCAGTTCAAAAATCAGCAAAGGACTTGCATAGACATTTTTCCACATAATATAGACAAATAACCACCAAGCACATGAGAAGATGGTCAGCATCCTTAATCATTAGGGAAATGAAAATCACAGTGAGGATAGGGTATCACTTCTTACCTGTGAAGATACAGAAATGAAAAGTAATGGGCATTGGGTATTGATCAGCTAATACACAGAGCATAGATGCATTAGTACATGTAACCAAGCATCTACAGGTATGCACATTGTTCATGGTAGCAAAACAGTGGAAACAACCCAAGTATCAGCAATTGTATGGATAAAGGTGCTATGACATACATAAGTGGAAGACTTTCAGTCATAAAAAGCAATGAAGTGTTGATACATGCTACAACATGCACCTTGAAATACTGTGTTAAAAAAAGAAAAATACTGTGTTTAGTAAAATAAACCAACACAGGACAAATTTTAAATGATTCTCCTTATATGAAGCATTAAGAGCAGACAATTCATAGAGAAGAAAGTAGAAAACAAATGATCAGGCCAGGGATGTAGCTCAGTGGCATAAGTGCCTGCTTGGCAAGCATGAGGTCATGAGTTCGATCCCCAATATCAAAAAAAAAAAAAAAAAATGATCATAGAATAGAGGGAGGAGGAAGAAGAAAGTTAACTTCTAATTGGCACTGTTTATATTGAGACTAACTTGGTATAGATGGTTATACAACATTGCAGTTGTGTTCAGTGTCATTTTACAAATAGTTAAAATGATAAATGTGTTTATATACAGTAGAAAGAAAGCTTCAGATTTCACAAGCTATTTACCAGTGTGACACAGAAGTAGGCATTTGCCTTAAATTTTGAGTGGCTTGCATTCCTGCTGAACCTGGTACTCTGTGGAAACCCAGCTGACAAACCTCACCCACCCAGCAGATGGTTTCCAGCTATGACTGTGTCAGACCTGTCCACAACTCTGACAGTATTCATTGTTGCTTCTGGAAGTGTCCTCTTTGTTTCTGTTGTGCTTTCTCCAGCTTTTCACTCTTTATTTCCTCAGTTGATTTCTTCTCAGGCTTGTGTTTAAATTCGTGGGCCTTTGCCTAACATCCAAAGGTGGGCATTGCCGGGTCTCTGTCTTTACTATGGCGGCATGCCTGGGGATCTTGTGTCTCCCTAAGATCATTCAGTGCATGTTTGCACTTAATGCATTCACTCCTCTGGTCAGACCTCTCCTGGCCTCACTGTTGTCTCACCAGGTGCCCCCTAAATATCTGTCTTTACATATTCCAAGCATCTCAAAATTAATACTTCTCAAACTAAACTTAGTTGACATCCATTGTTTCCCTTCTTCTCATGTCTCCCTCCAGCACCGCCCCATATCCTCCTCTTCCTACCAGGATCCCTCAACATCAGCCAAGTCACCAAGCCAGAAATCTGGACTAACCCTTTACTCTTGCCTCTCTTGTCTTCACTATTCAGTCACTGACCCAGTCCATTTGACTATTCCTTAACTACTGTCAGCACTATCCATCCTAACCCACCCTTCCGATAAAGCCCAAATTCAAGCTCTGTGTAGCTCTTTCTTGTCTCTGACAGTTTCCTTCCTTATGATCTTGTTTCCCTGCATGTAGTATGTACTTCATTTTTTTAAAAAAGGAAAAATTGTATAGGTTGTCTCCTTGCAGAAAGTAGATCTCATTTTTAAGAAGATAAAGGAAGATATTTGTAGCTTGGCACCCTCTTTGATACAAAGATGAATAACAAAGATGAGACACATAACCAGCCATGAACAGAACAGCATGTTATAATTAGAGTGACAGAAATGATCAGAGTTGGACAAAAGAGATGACATTTGAACCATAGATTAAAGGAAAACTAAAATCTTTATAAAGATGAAATGTGACAGGAAGATATTTTAAAAAAAAAAAAAAAAGGAACATATGAAAAAGGAGAAAGGTCCCAGAACATTACACATGCAAGACACATCTAAACAACCTGTTTGGCTTCTAATCAATGTAAAGTTAAAAGAACAGAGACTAGAAAGAGAGGTTAAACTATCAGGTCATAGCATCAGGGCTTTCTATGGGCAGCAAGAGAAACATTAAACATTTGGATGGAGATTATTTTAGTCAGCTTAATTAAAGTACAGCCTCCAGACAATAAGATCCACCTACTTTAAGTTTATGGTTCAGAGAGTTTGAACGATGTTTAATCAAGTAAGCAACAGCAAGTGTGAAATTATTCCATTCCCTAAAAAATCCCCTTGGGCCTGTTGGCAGACAGTCCCACTACCCCCTCCTTCTACGACCACTGGTCTGTTCTCTATCATTGTAGATTAGCTTTTTTTTGAGGATTTTATATAAATGAAATAATGCAGTCTGTTGTCCTTGGTGTCTGGCTTTCTTCACTCAGTGTGATGTGGAGAAGGGTACTCTTGTAGAAAGATAATTTAGCCTTCTGGGTGGATTCAGCTGGGGACATGACGGGAACAACAGATGGGTTAGAAAATTTTATTGTATTAGTTAAGAATGGGACACTGAGAATATGAACCAGGGAGATAGTGGTGAAAAGAAAAGCTTTCAGAAAACCTTTTCAGATTGTAATAAAGGCAGAAGTTAAATGTGAAAAAGAAGGGCTCTGGAAAGATAGGGGCTGTGGCCGGAGAAGAGAGCTCGAGGTGTGAGATTTGGAGAAGGAACATACTGAAGAGATGAAGTCCAAGTGGCTGGCAGTTGTATAGATGAGGGTCATTAGGAAAGAGGTTTGAGGACCATGTGATGCGGTGATATGGATATCAGTGCTGCTAAGGGCATTAGAAAGAGATGTGCTCTGAATCACACATTCATGCTGTCCTAAAAGAGTGGTCTTGGAGTTCATTATAGACTGAGAAAAGCACTTGGCAAGTGAACTGTGTGGAATCAAAACAACAAAGGCTGAAGAGGTTTGCTGATAGAGTCAGGGCTAGAAGTAGAAGTGAGGCCATGAAGAACCCAGGACGTCCCACCCTGGCATTGTTGAAGGCGGGGATCTTGCTATGTTGCCCAGACATCCTTCTGACTCAGCCTCCTAGAATGACTGGGGCTGCAGGCACACAGCACAGCACCCAGATTCCTGTGTTCTGTCTTCCCTCATATTGTGGAGCAAATTGTGCGCCCCCACCCACAAATTCTGACTCCCAGTGCCAGGTGTTTGGCGATGGGCCTTTGGGAGATAATTAGGTGTAGGTGAGTCCTGAGTGGAGCCTCTTGGTGGGAATAGTGCCTTAAAAGTAGGGGCACTCGTGTGCTTGTTGTCTCCCTCTGCCGTGAGAAGTCACAGCGGGGTCTGTCTGTAAGCCCTCACTGGAATCCGACCGTGTTGGCACCCTGATTGTGGACCTCCGCTGGTTAAGTCCCCCAAATGAGGAATTTTGTTAGAGGTAGACTGTAACCTCAGGGAGTTCTGAAGAACAAAGAGGATCTCCCTTTAGCAAGGCCTTCAGGTGAAGCCACAGAGCCGGGGGAGCTGGCTTGCATTGCACAGGGAAAAGAGTGATAGAGAGTTCCTCACAGTACGATAAAAGTCAAAGAATGGACAAATACTTGGAAATTTTCAAGGTGAATTGTGTACTCTCTTTTGTCGAGGGAAGGGCTAGGTTCGCTTAGTCATATGACTTGTAGTTTTCTAAAGAGATCCCGTTTAAAAATTAAGGTTCCTTTCCAGGAACCAGTTCCTTTCCCATTGTTACCGTACACAGAGCAAAGCTGTATGCGGTTGATGGCTTGGCTGAGCCCAGAACGTGAGGGTTCCAACTCGGCTCTACCACTTAGTAGCACACAGTGCCGAGCAACTTGCTTAACCTGTTTTATCTCATTTTCTCATCCACAAAATGGGACTTTTCTTCTATCTTGGGGATCATTATAAAGACTAAGTAAGTTACCATTCATTATTAAGTGCTCAGAATTGGAAGACAAGGGTTATGGTACAGGCCTGTCGTCCACTGCTCCTCAGACTGAGCCAGAAGCATCACTTAGGCCAACCTTGGCAACACAGAGTCCCATTTCACAAAAGAATAACATCAGAATTTAATAAATAAATAAAAGCACTCAGAATTGACCCTGATTCATGTTGGAAATGATGGTCTGAATACCCAGTATTAAGAGTATTAGTTGCAGTTGTATCCGTGAAAAGCCCATGATAATGAACAGTAGTGCCCGTAGCTAAAATTAACATCCTGTGTGCATGGCACCATGTTAGGCGCTTTCCATGTGTTGCCTTGTTTAATTCTCAGCACCGCTAGACAGATATACTTGCTCTCCCCATTGTACTAGTAAGAAAATGGAGGCATCAAAGTGACTCCTTCAAAGTACTCTCGTTTCAAAAACCTTCCAAGTTCAGTGAATTCAACTCTGTTCTCTGTACCCTTTTCCTTCTACTCGGGGCCAGCAGCATATATGAAGCTACTTCCCAGATTGGGGCCTGAACCTACTCCAAGATTTGAAGTCACCAATGTTGGTGGTAAAGTTGAGTATGAAAATTACATCCTAAATGAGTTTTCAAACTTGGGGAAAAAGAACACATTTACAGTTAAATTGAATCTAGCCTATAATGCAACTCTGTCTTTAAAATTGACCATAATCGCTTTTGCCATCTCTGATGACTGGTTTGTGTATATTTCTGTCTTTTTTTAGAATTTCCAGATGATGTTAATCCAGTTACCAAAGAAAAAGGTGGACCCAGGGGCCCAGAACCTACACGATACGGAGATTGGGAACGAAAAGGACGATGTATTGATTTTTAAGGCATATTCTTTAACTTTATGATCATTCTCTGAATATGTACATCTGAATTTCTTATTTCAGATTACATTCTTTCTTTTACATCCTTTAAATTATCTCGTGTGTATGTGTGTGTTACTGAAAATGGAGCCCAGGGCCTTGTACATCTAGGCAAGTGCACTGAGCTGCATCTTCAGCCCCAAATCATCTAATTTCTATCACATGTTTAAATATGTGTATGATGACTTTGGAAGAAAATATGCTTCTGTGAACTAGGAAAAAAATTTTTACATTAGGCTTATTAACATTAACAAATACATTGGGGTATGTAAAGGATTATTAGAGCTGTATACTTCATAATTTTTTAATTTATGTTAATGAGTTGCTTGTAAAATACTTATGTAAATAAAATATTTTAAGTGATTATGACACTATCAGCTAAGTGAATGCTGGCTTTTAAAATGTGAGTTAAATAGTGTATCACAGCTTGAGAAGGCCACAGTAATGACAGGAAAATCATTAACCTTCAGCCAGTTACTTAGACCCTGATCCTCACTCCACTGCTTAGTGTTTACATAACCTTGAGGAAGTTATTAACTTCTCTGTGCTATAGAATCTCTGTGTAAGTTGGAAGTGACACTAGTTCCACCTCACAGGGAAGTTGGGAAGAGTAAATGAGAAGTGTGCATACAGTATTACTCAGGGAGGAGAGAGAGAGATTGTGAGATTGTTTATTATGAGGAATTGGCTCTGAAGTCCTGGGGACTGAGAAGTCCTGTAATCTGCCATCTGCAGCTTGTGGACACAAGGCAATCAGGAAGGCTATTCTGTTGCAGTGTAGAGGCCTGAGAACCAGGGAAGCTGGTGATGAAATCCAGTTCAAGACAAGAGATGAGATGAGATGTCCTAGTTTTACACTGCGATGCAAGAAAAAGGTGAATTCCTCCTTCCTCTAACTTCTGTCCTTTTCAGTCCCCAAACTTAGGGAATGGTATCCATTCCACCACCCTGGGGAGGACCGTGTCCTGTACTAGGTCTGCCAGTTCACATGTTCGTGTCACACCAGTCATGACGGCGAATGCCCGTAGTGCCAGCTACTCATGAGGCTGTGGACTGCTCCAGAGCCCATGTTAGAGACAGCTGGCCAGCATAACAAGACTCCCTCTCATAAAAAATGGAAAATATGCCTATCACTCAGAACAGGCACAGACACATCCTGAAACAGTGTTTAATCTGGGCACCCTCCAATCTTCTCAGACTGATGATACAGCATAGCCATCATGAACCATGAGCTAATGGAGGCTTCATTTTATGAAAGATCATAAAATCAAAATTGGAAATATTGAGGTTAAAATTATAAGTATTTTTTAAAAAGTTTTAACTAAATACCATATTTTAGTTAAAAATAGTGATTGGATGAGTGAACGGGAAAAAATATGCATGTTTTTGAAACGGAGTTCAGGTAGGGAAGACAGATGGGACAATTGCAAGGGATGGAACGGGCCAGGTGAGTCTGTTGTGGTGTCTCAAAAGCATGGTTCCCAGGGCCTTTGATAACTGGGTCAGGAGAAGCGCAGTCTGCTTTACAGTTATGAAAAGAAGGACAGGAACTGCTGGACTGCCCTAGGGCAGTGATGGCGAACCTTTCAGAGACCGAATGCCCCAACTGCAACCCCAAACCCACTTATTTATCACAAGTGCCACACTTCAGTTAAACCTGAGTATCTGACACTTGGATGCTGGGGTGATGTGGCTTATGTGTCAACAGAGGACTCCGTGTGCCTACCATGCACCTGTGCCATGGGTCACCACCAGTGCCACATGTCCCCAGGCCTCAGCTGCACAGGTTGGTCCTTCAGTGCCTAGGCCCTACTGGCATTACTTAGGGAGAAGGGGCTTGCCAACCCTGTAAAAGACAAGACAGGGTTTTGGCTGGTGATTGTGTGATGTGAGTTGTAAGTGCAATGTTATTTGAGAGGATTGTAGGGAGACTTATTTAAGAGAATACATTGTGCCCTCTCCAGAAACAGATTCTCAGGAGTGCCTATTAGAATTGGTTGTCTCCATTCATGGCCATCTCTGAGTCAACATTTGTTCTTTCACTTGGTATTACTGTGTATGATGCTAAGTAAGAACCACATAATGTATCTTTAAAAATACCCTATAATTTAATCAATTTCCAAGTAGCTCAGATTAGCAAATATTGACTATCATTATCCTAAAAGCTGTTTGTTAAATTATTTTGTATTGTACAAGTATATTAAGTGAACATAAAAAATGAACAAAATATTTCTTGCGTATATTAGTCCTGAAATGTGATAGGGAAAAATAATTTATATGCTTTAAAATAGATAAACATAATAACCAGTCTTGTATTAAGATAATAGTATCCATATTAATAGTAACATGTTTCATGACATTAATCAAATAATACAGGTAAAGTTGATGGCATGAAAATGCTGGTGGTATTTTTTTTTTATTTAAAGAGAAAAAAGAAAGGACATAAAAAAACAAAGCAGTAAAAGGGTACAAATAATACAGAATTTCAAGAAAAAGAAAAAAATATACAGTAAGAAATCACTACTTAATAGGTTACATAGTGTCTTCTTAGAAACAGTTGTCCAAATTATAAAATTAAAGCATATAAAGTAGACATTCATACAGTGATATTGGAGTCAGTTCTGTTCAATGATCCAGCAAAAGCTCAGTAATGTGGTTTTCCATCCTACACACTCGAACATACCTGTGGTTATATCCCTTAGTCCACCTTCCTTTCTTCTCTTTTTTACACTAGCAATTACACTTTTTGGGTTTTATTACTCCCACAGTTCTTATTACTTTTTTTGAAGAGAATAAAACCAAACATGACTAAGCAAAACAGAGTCAGAACAGAAGGGTGGGCATAGTACATGATGCAAAAATAGAATACCAGGTGATCAAAAGTGGTTACCATTGTGCCTCTTGCTATTTTTAAATTGAGTTCCCTATATCATCAGGTATAATAGAATTGATCAGAAAAAGACCAATAAAACCTACACTTGAGACCTTACAGGACTTCAAAAAAAGATAATAGTCAAACCATAATGGGCATTGTAGTATATCTTATTGCCTTCAAAGTGGTTGCCTATACCCTCAAACTTGATACTATCAAATAAAATAGAATATAGTACAATCAGACAGAGAAAGATGGGAAGAGTAATACTGGGGTTCAAATCAGGTTAATAGGAAAGCAAAAAAGTTACTATAATATGTCCCGCTATTTTTTAATTTAGTTTTCCCTTAATTAAAAAAATGAGAAAAAATAGATTAATTTAAAAAGGGGAGGAGATTGAGATAAGAGAGGACATTGTAACAGAACAACTCAGGTCAGAACTGAACAATTTAAGCATCATTGTGTTTTCCTACCAAATAATCTAACATAATAGTAGTCACCATAGTGCCTCTTTCCTTGAATTATTTGAGTATAACTTCGTATGCTGTAGCATCAAGCATATCAAGACAGTGTGAAGCCATTCAAGAGAATGAAAGAATTACAGGGCATTTAGAAGCAGCTAATAGAAAACGAACAACGGTTTCTATATTATCTCTTTGCCTATAAAAAATTTTGTTTATACTATTGCATATAGTAAAATATAGTAAGATACAACATGTTAAAACCAGTGGAAACAGATGTACAACAGCTTGATGGGACTTCAAAACAAGATGATATTAAATCAGCACTAGCTTTTATGTTGTGCTGTTTTCTTCAAAATAGCTATTTGTACTATCACAGATACTAAAATCAAATAACCCAGGTTAAATCCATTGCAATTAATGAGTGAAAACATTATATGGCTTCAAACCAATATGATTGGGAATCATGATTACCACATACTTTTATGTATTCCTATCATTTTTTACACGAGGGAAACTATTCAATATTTATACATGTGAGTTTGATTTATTTCACTTATGAGTATGGTCTCAAGCTGTGTCCATTTATTTATAAATGTCTCAATGTGATCATTCTTTATAGCTCAGTAGTACTCCATTGTATAAAAGTACCACAACTTTTTTTATCCATTCTTCAGTTGATGGACACTTAGGTTGTTTCCAAGATCTGGCTATTACGAATTGTGCTGCTATAAACATGGATGCACATAGATCACTGTGGTATGATGCTTTCAGTTCTTCTGGGAATATGCCTAGAAGTGGTATAGCTGGGTCAAATGGGGCTTGCAGTCCCAGCTTTCTGAGAAACCTCCAGACTGACCTCCACAAAGGTTGCACCAGTCTACACTCCCACCAACAGTGCAGGAGAGTTCCTTTTTCCCCACAGCCTCTCCAGCATTTGTTGTTGATGGTTTTCCTGATCTTGGCCATTCTTTCAGTAGTGAAATGAAATCTCAGTGTGGTTTTAATTTGCATTTCTCTAATGACTAATAATGATGAACATTTTTTCATATATTTATTTGCCATTTGTATTTCTTCATCTGAAAATTGTTTATTCATCTTAGATGCCCACTTTTGGATTGGGTCTTTGAATTTTTGGGGTCTGATTTTTTTTAATTCTTTATATGTTTTAGACAGAAGCCCTTGTCTGAGGGGCAGTTCACTAAGATTTTTTCCCAGTTTGCGGGTTTTCTTTTCACTATGCTGGAGATTTCTTTTGACGTACAGAAACTTTTTAATAAGAGGTGATCTCAATTATTGACTCTGGGAAATATTTCCCGTGCAGTTTGAGTCCTATTCATGAATTCTCTACCTACTCCTATGTCTTCAAGGTTTTTACCGAATTTGTCTTCCAATAGATTTAGTGTTTCTGGTTTAATATTCAGATCTTTGATCCATTTAGATTTTAATTTAGTGCATGGTGATAGGCATGGGTCTAGTTTTAGTTTTTGGCATATGGAGAGCCAGTTTTTCCAACACCATTTATTAAAGAGACTGTCGTTCTTCCAATGAACATGTTTGGCCCCTTTATCAAAGATAAGGTGTTAAGTGTGTTTGTAGTTGTGGTTGTATCTTCTAATCTATTCCACTGATCTTCGGCTCTGTTTTGGTTCCAGTACCATGTTGATTTTACTATAGTTGCTTTGTAGTATAATTTCAAGTCAGGGATTGTGACACCTCCTGCCTTGCCTTTGCTGCTTAGAACTGTCCTTGCTATTCTAGGTCTCTTCTCACCCCATATGAATTTTAGGAGTGATTTCTCGAGTTCTATGAGGTATGTTGATGGTATTTTTATTGGGATTGCATTGAATCTGTATAAAAGTTTTGGGAGAATGGCCATTTTCACAATATTTATTCTTCCTATCCATGAGCAAGGGATGTCTTTCCACTTTCTGAGATCATCTTCAATTTCATTTTTCAATGTATTATAATTTTCCCTGTATACGTCTTTCACTTCTTTTGTGAGAGTAATTCCTAAATATTTCATTTTTTTGGTTGTTAG